GGACATGTGCCTCCTGTCACGAGTTCGCAACACCTGGACAGGTTCGCTGGAGCCAGCGCTGAGGCACCAGGAGTGAAGCGGGAGAAGGAGGACGGCACCAGTGCCCTGCTGTAAGGAACAACCCGACGCAGGAGCGTCTGAAAACAATTGCGATGCCAGGGCCCTAGATACCCGGCGCTCCAATTGCTTCGTTGCGTGGGCCCTTGGAAGTCTGGACAACTTCCCTACGGTAGAAGGAAGCACTTAGTGGACACCTCCCCGCTCCCCAAAGCTCAAAGTTGGCACGCGCGGGGAAGACTGCGGTCGAAGTGCAGCTCATTCAATCCACCGCCAACATTGATCGTTGGGGGGGACACTAACAGATGAATGCGGCATAAGTGTTCGCTAATTTCTTCCGAGGCCTGCCAACGTTGTATCCTGAGCAGTTGTTTCACGGTCCCAGGGCCCGTCGAGGGCGCCCCGAGACCGAAAATGGCCCAAGACCGGCCGCTCCGACGTGTCGCGGTCTCGGACCTCTGGGGCCCAGGATGGCACCAGCCAGTGGTCGGGTAGGAGGTCGACTACAGAATGGATTCACCCCAGACCCGATTCTTCGCCGAACCTACGAAACGAAGACTCATACCATCTGTGCGGATTTGCCAACGCTCTGCGTAGTTGCTTGCCGATCCATCAAGATGCACAATGTTGGGGCACATCGACTCTGTACACCACACCCGTCAGCCATCAGGCATCTTACGAGAAACCAGTACTTCTCGTGGACCTCAGATCTCGCTCCATAAAATCAAGAATCTGGACCAGAGCCTGGGCGTGTTCTTCGAGCTGCTTTCTGCGCGGAGAGCGTCGCATCTGGACCTGGATTGCCCTTGGAGAAAACGCTTGGTGTGAAGCTCGCTTTCTTGGCGTAAGAGTATTCTTGAACCTTAGCAGGGGTGTACAGTAAACCCGCATAGTAAGGATGGACAACCTTCCCAAGGGTACCCTTGCGTTCTTACTCTTTCGGCCCATCCTCAGCGACGCTCGCTGGCCAGCCGCGCTCGAAAAATGCTGACGTGGCCATCCAAGGCCCTTGCACCCTTACCGCACATCTTTCTGATACGGGTTGACTCTAGTCGATCCCCTCTGCGCGAAGTGGTGCACGAAAACCCTCCCGAACCCGCCCCGAAAACCTTCCAGGAAGGGTTCCCGGAGGCTTTTTGAGGGTTTCAGGAGGGCCCTGGGAAGGGTTTTCGTCGCTTTCGGGGAAAGCCAGCCAGTGTATAGCGAACCCTGGGCTTTCTAAGTGTAGTCGATCCCCTGCGCGCGAAGTGATGCACAGGTGCCTTGTGAGCGTTTTTTGATTGATTCTTTTGCCGATCGGCGCGGGCCCTCGCAACCCCCCCCCTCCCCCCTCTCGTGGAGCAGATCTTGGCTGTTTGGGGCGCCTGCGTCTCCCCCGTAATGGACGCCCTCTTGCCAACAGTGGCATCACGCAGAGGGCCAGAGCCAGACCCCGCCCCCTCCCCTCCCCCGTCTGCCCCGTGCCGAAGGCGCTCACCGCTTCCCTGGTGCGCGGAGTGGTGCGGCCGTACCTTCTGCAGGCGGCGGCCCCCCCTCCGAGGGGGCCCTCCCCCCCGCGGGCGCGGGGGCCCTGCCCGAGGGCAGGCGCAGGCGCGATGCCGCCGAGGCCCCCGCAGAAGCGGCGGCGCCCAGAGAGCCCTGCCGGGGCGCCGCCGGGCAGGCGGCTTCGGGAGCCTCGCTCGGGGGGCAGGAAGCGGGTGTGGTGTAGATTACCAGCCTGGAACATATCCCTATTCCTATGCTGGGCACCTCCTCATCGCGATGCCAATCTAAGGGATTCCCTAAATCTTTGAGGGCGAACCCCTAAGATTGTCATCGCCTTTTGGCGTGTCAATCTTAGGGATAGGGATACGTTCGAGGCTGGTAAGTAAAGGGGTGTGGTGGCAATGCTGGATCTGGCGAGGTTGTCTATCGCAGAGAACCTCGCCAGGTCCAGCATTGGCGCTACACCCTTCTATGCAGCCTTTCGGGAGCCCTGAGACGGGGGTCAATGCAGGCGGGGGTCAACCGGAGCGCCCGATCTTGTAGGATCCTGCGGGGCCACGGGCCGCACTGCTGAGCCAGGTTTGGGTGCAGGGTCCTGCAGGATCCTGCAGGATCCTTCGCATGGACCCGGGTCTGGATGCAGGGTCTTGCGGGATTCTGCAAAGCTCGACTGTGACCCGAGTCTGGATTGACCCGAGTCAGAGAAGATCCCCGAGGTTTGAGTCGAAGAAGGAAAATCGCTACACATAACAAACTTTGGACGGTCCGCTCGGATTTCTTGGATCTGCGCTGGGACCCTCCCGGCGGCGCCTCCGGCGCTGTCCCAGGCGCGCTCCGCGCGCCAGGGAGGCGGGTCCAGCGCAGATCCGAGAAATCCGCGCGGAGCTGCAAACGTTCATGTTTGTAGCGCTTTTGTGTTTCTTCTTCTTCTATTTGAGACGGGGGCTCTTCCCCTTGAGAAGGACGAGCACGAGGAGGAACGAAGCGGAGAAGGAGGAGGAGGAGGAGGAGGGGAAGAAGGAGGAGGACGACGACGAAGAAGGACGTCAAGGAGCCTGAGAAGATGGACGTCGAAGAGAGGGGAGGGGGCTCGTAATCTTTTGGGGCCACCCTGGGGCCGGCTGTTTGGGGTCCTGGGGCCCTGAGAGGCCAGCGGGAACCTTGAGACGGGGGTCTGTGTCCAAACAAGTACGCACAAGTTTCGTATATCTAGGAACATTACATACGCACTTTTCGTGGATTCGGCGAACAAGTCGATTTTGGGGTAACTCATTCTTGAAGTCGATTCCCTGCTTGAAGGGTGCCACAAGGTCACGTGGAGCCAGACTCTATTGCCACCGCATCTTGCTCGTAGATCGCTCGCGCACTGCTGCCATCTGGGGCGCAGTGGCGGACTGACGAGCCCCCCAGGCGAAACTAGTCTCGGCGCGGTACTGGCAGCTTGCACCTTGGGATTGCCACGTCCAAAGCAAGCGAGCGGTGGTCAGCCAGAGCGCCGGATCTTGCATGATCCTGCAGGGCCAGGGGCGCGCTCGCCGAGGGGTGATCGGCGGGATGGCGACGTCGGCAGGGGTGGCCGGTCTCCTGATTCCCAACGACCGTTTTTTTTCCGGACGGGGCCTTGCCACTTCCCCCCGTGGAGGGTGGGACGCTCGAGGAAAAAATCCTGTAGGGCCAGGGGCGCGCTGACCCAGTTCTGGAGTGCACGATCTTGCAGGATCGATCCCGCAGGATCTCGGATCCCGCAAAGCTTGACTGTCCCAGGTGTGGAATGGCCCAGGTCAGTCGATCCCGACGGGCGCGGAGGGCTCTGAGCGGCGGCTCGCCCCAGGGAGGTTCCAGATTCCCAGAGCTCCGACACTCGCACAATTCTGGACTCGATCTCCTACTCGACCACTTGCTAAGGCCAATTTGGGCCTCAGAGGTCAGGCCCCGACAAAAATTGAAGCGGGTGGCTTTTGGCAGTTCTCGGCTTCCATGGGGCCCTCGCCGGGCCTCGGGATTGTGATGAAACAGCTCAGGACGAAAAACCAGGCCTAGGGAAGTGTTCCAGACTTCTAGGGCCCACGCGTCGAAACAATTGGAGCGATGTCTGGGTCCCCGACGAAGTAGCACAAATCTCGAAGATCGATGGGAGCTCGGATCGAGAAAGGCAGGAGGAGCAGAAGAAGGAGGAGGAGGAGGAGGAGGAGGAGGAGAAGGAGGAGGAGGAGAAGGAGGAGGAGGAGGAGGAAGAGGAAGAGAGATCGAGGAGGTTCGACGATCGAACAGACGGGGGTGGAAGGAGGGAGGGGGGAAGAGGAGGAGGAGGAGGAGGAGGAGGAGGGGGAGGATTAGGAGGAGGTTGAGGAGGAGGTGGAGGAGGAGGAGGAAGAGGAGGAAGAGGAGGAGGAGAAGAAAGAGGAGGAATAGGCCAATATTTGGAACGCATGATATTATATTCATGGTCAAGTATGATCTCGGCATCCACGGACCCTACGGGGTCGGTGGTGTGGCGTAAGCTAGCGAATCCACGTCCGCAGATGACGTGCTGAACGGCAGCGTTTTTCGGCGAACGCCTTAATGCAACGCCTCCCATGTATTCAGTGAGTGCGTAATCGTTCCATCTTGTACTATATTTCACCCCTATGCCTCCCCCCGCCCCCTGGAGTTTCGCCACATGTGCGTTCCAATATGACGACCCTCACCTTGGTGCTCGAAGCAATTGCCAACGCATGAAACATCGACACCGTCTGCCTCTTGGGAATCCTGGGCACCCAAGAGGGCTTCAAGACGTTTCAACATGGCCCCAAGACGGGCCAAGACAGCCCAAAACGAAAAGAGGCCCCCAAGAGGGCGCAGAAGGCCCCCGAGACGGCCCTAAGAATGGCCCACAAGAGCGCCTCCAGAGGCCTCTATATCCATAGTTTGCCTTATTTTGTGACGTTCCCGTGATCTTCGATTCTCGGAGGAGGAGCCGAGGGGCGAGGAGGGGAACAGCACGCACGGAGTGAGAGGGAAGGGAGAAGAGAGGGAAGGAGGCAGGGAGGCGGCAGAAGAGGAGGTAGGGGGAGGGAGGGGAAGTCAGAAGAGAATGAAGAAACACAACACATGTTCCTCGTCTACTTTGCATCGTATTGAACGTTTTCTATGTCGACTTCTGACAACCCGAGCCTCCAAAATTGCCCCACGACGGCCCAAGAGGCTCCCCCCAACGGGCCCCGAGCCCAAGAGGCCCCGAGAGGCCCAAAGATGGCCTCCAAGACGGGCCAAGCGGCCTCAAGAGGATGGCCCAAGAGGGCCCCACGACTGCCCCAACAGAGCCCCAAGATGACCCCCAGAGGCTCTCAAGAGGGCCCCAGAGGCCCCCAAAAGAGCCCCAAGACGGCTAAAGGCCTCCAAGACGCCCGGCCCCCAAGACAACCAAAGGCCTCCAAAAGGGCCCCCACCCGGCCCAAGAGGGCCCCAACAGAGCCCCAGGGAGGCCCCGAGAGGCCCCCAAGACGGCCGCCGAAGGCGTCCGTAGCCAGGCTCTGGCCCTTGGTGTGGCGGAGCGCCCACCCTTTGACCCGGGATACCGCACACACTCGTGACACTCCATGCGGTGCGCGCTCGCGCTCCGCTGTTACACATCGGCCGTGCTGCTGGGCGGCTGCTGGGCGCTCCGGCTTGGCGCGCGCGACGGCCCCGCCGCCCCCGCGGCCGCCGCCGCGGAGGTGCGCCGGCTGGAGGGCCGCAGGGCGGAGCTGGCGGCGGCCGTGCGGCGCCTGCAGTCGGAACTCGGAAAAGCCAAGACCAAGCTCGGCGAGAGCAGCGACGAGCTCGCCAAGGCCAGGGAGGTCCTCGCCGAGGCGAGGGCGAGTGTCGAGGCCGAGGCGAAGCAGAAGACCACAGCTGAGGCGGAGAAGGCCGTGCCCGGCGGCGTCGCTGGTGAGGCCGGGGGCGGCGCCGCTGCCGGCGGCGGCGGCGGGGCCGCGCCTGTCGGCGTCGTGCCGACGCCGTGGTGGAGGGAGGATGCCAACACCCAGATGCTGCAGATCCCCCCGACGTGGCGCCACAGCCTGGATCGCACAGGAGGCCGGCGCGACCGCGCGGGGCCTGAGACGAGGCCCGAGAAGGAGGTGACGGCCATTGTCACGCACGCCGGCAAAAACAGCCAGGAGTTCATCGATATGGCTGTGATGCTTGCCGTCTCGCTGAAGCGCCACGTGCCCGACTATCCCCGTTTCGCCATCGCGGTCAGAGGGATAACCGAGACGAACCAGGAAACGCTGGCGAAGGCTGGCTGGACCGTCGTCCTGGTGGACGACTGGATGGAGCTGCAGCAGAGGGAAAATGCCTCGCTGGTGCCGTTGGCGCAGATGAAGCTCAACGGCACGACGGGCGCTGGCCCACCACCCTCAACGGCACAGCGAGGACTGAAACTCCTGGATTTGGAGGCGATTCCCGACGAGGACAGGTTCTTCTGGCGTTGGGCGGACGTCTTCGAGAAACTCAACATGTTTAGGCTGCCGTTTGGCCGCGTCCTGTACCTGGATGCGGACACCTACGTCATGAGCGATCAGTTGGACTTCCTGCTGAACTCCACCACACTACCCAACGGCAACATTGGCATGGTGCACGACGGGTGCAAGACGGGCCCAGCTCAGGACGGCGAGTACAACTCTGGCGTCATGCTCTTCAAGCCGCACCGGGGAATGTTTACGAAGATGTTGAAGCTAGTCGGAGGTGTCATGAGCGGTGCGTTGGAAGCGAGGCACGATCAGCCGATCATCAACGAAGTTTATAAGGGCCGGGTGAGCGCGCTGGACAGGAAGTACAACTGCATAGACCTTACTGGCCGGACGGCGGCTGCCGAGTGTGCCCAGAAGTGCAACGAGGTGGTGGTCACTCACTTCACCGGCCTCCCAAAGCCAGCCACCGCCGACGAGAAGTTCCTCGACATAGTCCGGAGGCCCCACTCTCCGATTCTGCACTGCTTCAATACGAACCACGGCTCGTGCGGCGCCTGGTCGGAGTACTACTGCGACGTCCACCAGAACCGGCAGGCGCTGACCAAGAGGCTGCAGGATACTGTGGAAGCTACTGGGGGCTGCTGCCATAGCCCTCGGCAGGCGGACGATCCTCCCGAGTGCCGCGATGAGTGTCCGAGCCAGGTCAAGGTGGACGGCTGGATGCCCGAGGGAGCTGTTCCTGGCGTGTTCAACAAGACGAATCTTCCGTCTGACCCGGTTCTGAACGCGGGGCGGCCAATCTATGCTGGCCCCGCATTAACGGAGAGTGCCGGCATCAACGGATCTTCGTATATGTGGTATATGAAGCCGTACGGCAATTGGGTGATCGGCTTGAACTACAAGACGCCCGTAGCCTGGACCTACTCGCACGAGCGCGCGTCGTGCCCCTCGGACACCAGCCTGTGGAAGAGAACGGATGCGAAGACGGACGTGAATACGATGGTGTCTGTCGTCTCCGACAGCCCCATTGCGGCGGACATGGTGCTCGACTTGAAGTCTGGGTCTGGAGAATGGATGAAGTAGGCCAGTGTCAGCCGCCCCAGAGAGTTGTGATCCTGCTCGAAGCGTGGGCTCGCGAGTACAAGCGCAGCCAGCGCGGTCAAATAACCAACAAAACGGCCTCCGAAGGGACCAGATGGCGCAAGAGCTCCCGAAGTGGCCCTCAAGAGCCCCCAGGACCCCCGAAGGGGCTTCCAAGAGGCTCGCAAGAACCCCCAGGAGGCTTCCAAAAGACCCCAAGAGACCCCCTAACGGCCCCAAGAATCCACCAAGAGGCTCTCGCAATTGTATATTACTGGCGCGTTGTTGCAATGGTCATCTGGATTTGAGCTTGGCGTTGCCTTGTGCTGACTTTTTGTCGGCGGCGTCGCAACGCTCGAACGCGTGCACAGGAAAACCAGGGCGAGGAAGTAACTTATTCGCCGGAGCGAGCGTGCCGTAGACGAGGAACGGAAACGGAGGCGGTCACGGAGGCAGAGGCGGACGGAACGTATGGAAAGTCAAAGATATTGACCCCTAGGGCTCCAAGAGGGCCTCAAGACTGCTAAGATTGCTGCAAGACGGCCCGAAATGACCCTAAGACGGCTCCAGATGGCCCCAAGACGAGCCGCTCCCAGCCCAAACGTTGGCTGGGCCCCTCCGTCCACCCTCCGCGGGGGCGACTCGTGCTATGACCGCCCCCTTCCCCCCTCGCCCTGGTAACAACCGTACCGCCAGGGAATCAACAAATTGCTTCCAATAGGCCCCCAAGAGGCCCCAGCAGGCCCCCAAGAGGTCCCCAAGAAACTGCCAAAAACTCCAAGGAAGTCCCAATCGCCCGTGCTCTCTGCAGTCCGGACGTGCACCACGCGAAGCGAGAGGATCAAAACGGAGGCTTCTCCTCGTTTTCGCCTCTGGTGGCCCTCGGCGGTCCCCGGGACCGTCGAAAGACGGCTCGGGACGAGGACCGGCCTTGGGGAGCGGGTCGGTGGACTTCCGGGGATCCCATATGGTAAATATCAAGACATAGGTATCAGAAATTGGAACATATACATTACCAGTGGCGGGCTGTTCTTCAATCCCAGGATCTCTAAAGGATCCAGGACGACGCTGGGGTGGTGTGGTGTATACTTGTTTCTCCGATGTCCCGGGGAAACAACGAAAAATGTATACACCAGGGTCCCGTGCACAACAGGATCCGCTCTCCAATGCAAATTTTAATGCAGGGCCGGAAGAAGCGTCGGTGTACAGAGCTCGATTCCTTAGAGTATGTCTGGGGTTGGGAGGCTCATAAGGCCTCTGGCGTTCTAAGAGACATGTTGAACGTTCTCTGGGGGCCACATGGGCTTAACTAGTGTGCCCCAGAAGCGGCAGGGCCGTCTTTTCACCGCTTCCGAAAAACTGCCTCTTGAAACAGGAAGCGGGAGGAACAACAAACAATTGGCGACCAGGGGCGGCAAAAAATGGCTCTGGGATGGGAACCGGAGCCGGAACCGGCCAAAAAAGGTCGACGGAACCGGCAACAGAAACGGCGTCGGAACTGGCAGTAAACACGGCGAAACGGAACCGGTAAAAAGACGGCCCTGTCGTTGCTAGGGCCCGCGAAGCGCAGGGGGCTTCTCAGGAGGCGCGAGGGCTCCCGAGACGCCGCGGCGCCCTGGCGCCCTGTGAGAATCGGGTTGGCCCAGAAGGGAGTCCAGCGACAAGGGGGTGGCGCAACAGGTTTGGTGCAGTAGATTTGTGGGGTTGCCGTATGCAGCTGGGGCGGGGCGCACATGTATTGCTGCGCTTTCGCGTGCAATGCGCTGCTTGCAGCATGCACACTACAATACAATTCTCCGGCGCAGTACACTTGCAGTACAACTGCCCCAAATCTATTGCACCACCCCCTTTCAGCTGGACCCCCTTCTGGGTCACCCGAAGAAGGCCTGACCCCTCTGTTCGGGCCGGGCGAAAGGGGGGGATTGGGAAAGGGGGGGTTACGAAATTTGCTGCATGCAGCTGGTTTCGGCCTCACCGAGGGGCCCATTCCTCGATACATAGCCGCCTCCGGCGCCGGGAGGCGCCGGGAAAATCAGCTACGTGAGCTGATTCTCAAACCCCCCCTTTGCTATCCCCCCCTTTCGCCCGACCCGATCTGTCTTCTCGACGCGCCGCCGATCGGAGCGCCCGTCGCCGGGAGTCTGGCAGGCTTGCTCGCCGGGGCGGCCGGCGGGGGGCTTCCCGGCGAGCCGCGGAAGGAAAGCGTGGAGACCACGGAAGTCTCAGGGGCGGAAAAGAGGGGGGTGATGACTAGGGGGGGGTGGATATCATGGCGGGGTCCATGATTTTTCTCCAGATTTCATGGCGCCTCTTCTTATTTTATCACGTCCCTAGCCCCCCCGCTGGGCCGCGCACATGCTGCCGGTCATGATTTGCACCCCCCTCTTGGCCGCTCCCGAAAGTCGAGAAAGCTGCTTGCGCGCATGTCGTTTTTTCGCCTCCTCCGCCCCCCCCCCACACCCCAGTGCTGAACGAAGTCCGGCGGCGACGGGGGTGCGGAGGAGGCGGCGGCACCATGCCACGCAAGTGATCTTGCAGGAGTCGGCATCCAAACATCAGGGGTGCCAATACGGGGGGCTGGCCGGTGGGGCGGAGGGGCGCGTCCTGGCAAGTATTGCTGCACGTAAGAGTGACCTTTCGCCGGAGTGACCTTTGGTGCGGGGTGCGGGCCCAATGGGGTCCCCCGATCGCCGAACGCGATGCGGTAGTAGCGTCTTGCGCGCTCGTGTTTTGCCCCCCGCGGCCATCGAAAAAGCCGCGCACCAAAGGTCACTCTTTACCCAGGGTCACTCTTGCGTGCAGCCGATGGGCGCCGCGGGGAAGCGTCCTGGCAGGTGCCTCCGAGCGCCTCCAGGGAAGCGTCCCGGCAGGCTCCTCCGCGAGCCCCGAGGGTCGGGGGCGGAAAAGAAGGGGGTGATGACTAGGGGGGGGGGATATCATGGCGGGGGCCATGATATTTCCCCAGATTTCATGGCGCCTCCTCTTACTTCATTACGTTCCTGGCCCCCCCGCTGGGCCGCGCACGTGCCGCCGGTCATGATTTGCACCCCCCCCTCTTGGACGCCCCCCTCTTGGCTGCTCCCGAGAGGGGGCGCCTTTGCAGGCACCCTTGGGCCCGTGGCGGCGTCCTGGCCGAGCCGCCCGATCCTCGCCGATCGGGGAGGGCTTCCCCCTCGCCGATCCTCCGCCCGGGATCGCGGGGAGGGCTCCCCTCCGCCGATCCCCGAAGAAGAAAATATCCGAAGCGCTATGAACAGAAGCTTCTGGCGCTCCGTGCGGATTAGCTGGATCCGCGCCGGGCCCCCCCTGGCGGCGCCTCCTGCGCGCCCAGCGCGCTCCGCGCGCCAGGGGGGGGGGTCCAGCGCAGATCCAAGCAGTCCGCGCGGAGCGCCAAAAGTTTACGTTCATGGCGTATGCCCTCTTCTACCTAGGAAGTGCCCCCCCCCCCCCTGGAAGTGCCTCCCTCCTCCTCCTCCTCCTCCTCCTCCTCCCTCCCTCCTCCTCCTCCTCCCTTCTCCTCCTCCTCCTCCTCCTCCTCCTCCTCCTCCTCCTCCTCCTCCTCCTCCTCCCCCTAGCCCTTCTGCGCTCGAGCGAGCGTTGCAGGGACGTCCTTCAGAAGGGCCCGCGTTCCTGCGAGCCGAAATCTCGGGGGTTCTCCCCACAGCTTTCTTTCACAACGACCTTGGAGCCATGGCACCATGGCATGCGGATCGACTTGTGCGGCAGCAGCAGCAGCATCTTCTCCACCTGCGCCAGCACCCTGGCGGGGGTGGTGTGGCTGGCGCTTCACCTCTTCCTTCGGCTGGTGCAGCAGGGGAAGGCAAGTGGACGTGCTTGCACTGCGGCTGCAAAAAGAACAAGTCGGGCTGGATCCAGTGTAAGAATTGTCTCCAGCTGCGTCATGCACCGCGTTTTTTCCACGCCGCCCTCTGCTGGAGGCGCTTGGAGCGCCGCGCCGCCGCCTGGCCAGTGGGCCTGGCAGGGCGGCGCGTTTTCGCCTCAGGCTGATGGTGGCACGCATCCTCTTCGTCCAGGCCCTATCTACCATTTTCCTGGTGGTGGAGCGGCGCCCGGTGGTGGAGGAGACAATGGGCCCATCCTCGTGGCCGACCCCAAGGACGAGTTGTCTCAGCTCAAGGCCTTGGTCGCCCAGTTGCGCGCGGTCGGCGACACCGAGAGGGCCTCGAGGTACCAGGCCAAGGTTGACGCCAAGCAGGCCGCCCTCGCGGCCTGCTCCAAAGACCCGCCGCTGCAGCAGCAGGTCAACCGAGCCTTCCACAGCATGCGGACCATCGAGAGCCGCTTGGGCAAGGCGGCTACTGCATATGAGGCGGCGGAGCAGCAACTTCGAAACTTGCGAGATCGTGTGTCCACGTTGTCGTCGGAGCTCGAGGCGGCTGAATTGTCGCACAAGGCGCTCGTGCAGAAGCTCCACGCCCATGTCGAAGGAGATCCTCCTGTTTCTGCGCCCTGTCCCGAGCCAGGCATCTCCATCGACGACATCTTGGCTGGTAAAGAGGTTCCGAACAAGTTCGAGTCCCTTATCCAGCTCAAGGCCGACGATTACGAGTTGTCGCCTGAGGAAGTCGAGGAGAACGACAAGAGGGTGGCTGCGTTACAGGACGGTCTGCGCAAGGCTGTCACGGATCTGTTCGCGGAAGCCAAGAGCCAGGCTGATCGTTTCTGCGAGAAACAGCGCCAGGCGCAGTTGCGGCTCACGGCCAAGAAGCGGAAGACTGGAGACGCTGCTGCAGCTGCTGCCCCTGGAGGAGAGCAAGCCCCTGCAGATGGCCGCCCCAGACCTCCTGATGCAGCGCCTGCTGAAGGCGGAGCTCGCGAGGCTGGGCCGGCTTCGGGGGCGACTGCATCTTCGACGGGGGTTTCCACTGCGGCGAGTTCGGCGGCTACTCCTTCTACTGATCCCCGCGAGCGGGCAAAGGCTATTTTGCAGCAGCCTGCCCCCCCTGCCACTGAGTCGTGACTTTGGCAGGGGGGTAGTTTCTTCTTTTGATGGCAGCTCGATCGATTCAGCTGCCAATCCTTATAACTTTTCGTTGCGCCATCCTGTTTCGGCCCACGGTCCCTTGGCGGGGCCCTTTTTCCCTGGAGGCACGACGCTGGGAACGTATATGAGCCCAGCGGAGTGCCCCAGGGGTCGCCACTCTTTACTCGTCGAGGCCCAGGGGTGTTTTTGGTCAGGTCAGGGGGAGGCATGGCCTCCTCTCTTGGGGTCGAGCTGTATGCATGCCTGGGGGGAGAGTTGGCCGTGGGGGCCACCCGTCAACTCCTCATCATCGGCTCTGCCGCTTCCTGTCCTGGCTTACCCCCGTCTGACGCTGTCCAAGTTTGCTGTCCAGGGGCCCTTTTTTTCGGGCGTTCCGTCATACTTTGTCCAGGGCTAAGGGGGCCCTGCGGCGTAGTCATGGCCCATGCAGCCCCTATAAGGTGCCCCTGAGAGCTCCTGCTGCCCCGTCGTCTAAAGGAGGCAGTTCTCGGGACAGACCCATGTCTCACCGAACCGATCAGTCTGTCGAGCTTTCCTGTTGGTACTTGTTGTCCGATCTTCGAGACCGGTAACGTTTCAGGGTGGGGGCCTGGCCAGTCCTGGTTGAAGAGAACCTCAGCACACGTGGTGTGCTTGCAGGAGCACGTGCAGCTCCCATCCCAGATCGTTTCGGCGTCCAGTTGGTGTACGAGGCACGGCTGGAAATCTTTGTGGAGTCCTGCTCCCCTGGGGGCGTGAAGGTGCTGGTGCGTAACGGGCTCGGCTTGCGTGCACCTTCCTCTGGACATGAATTGGTTCTGGCTCGTGCTGTTGCTGGCGTCGCCGAACTTCTTGGATCGTGCCCGATCCTCGTGGTCTCCTCCTACTTTCACGATTGCGAGGACCTTTCGGACAGAAATGCTCCCCTTTTAACTCAATCCTGATCCTTGGGAAGGGGCCTTTGGGTTACCGTTTCTGGTGGGGGCCGACTTTAATATGGAGCCTAATGTTGTGTTCGACTCGGGTTTCCAGGACTTTGCTAAAATCACTGCTCTGGCCACGGGTGAGCACACTTGTCGGTCCACCTCGGGTCTTAAACAATTCGATTATTTTTTAGCCAGCCACGGTCTGGCGAAGGGGGTTGCTAAGGTGGAGACGATTCGGTCTGCGAATTTGACGCCTCACTGCCCTGTTCGAGCCACCCTGCATCCGCAGGTGGGGAGGCTTAAGTGTCTGGCTTTTCGGAACCCTCCTCCGCTGCCAGTGTCGCCTTTACCACCGGTTTGCTCTTTTGTCCCCGCTCCCGTGTCCAAGCATCTTCCTGGGGTCCTGGATGCGTGTAAAAGGGCCCTTGGTAGGCTCGATTTCGGGGACGCTCAGGCTAAACTCGATAAGTGTTACAAGTTGTGGGCTAACGCTGCCGAGAAGGAGGTTGGGGTGGCCTCGGGCACCCAGCTCCCTTACTGGGGAGCGAGAGGCAAAGCGCCTCAGCTGAGCTGGGAACCGATTCTCCCTCAGGGTGCTGCCCCTCCGTGTGCCGAGCTTTTTGCGGGTAGGTGGCTCGGTAACCTTTTTCGGGGACTTTTTGGGACACTGGGAGGCGTCCAGCGAGGCTGGCATCCGCAAGGTTCTGGGGATGATCCAGCAGCCTCCTCCTCAGGTGGTCGCCGCCTGAGGGCCTTTGACTAAGTTTTTTGAGCAGCTCACTGCTCTCATTGCCGACTTGCCGTCGTACGGGGTAGCCGTCGACCAAGGCAAACAGAAAATGCCTTCAGAATGTTCCGGGGAACGCCCTCCGGAACATTCTGAGCACAACGGCCTCCCCTCCCCTCTTCCTTCTCCCCCTCTTCCTCCCCGTTCCTCCTCCCCTCTTCCTCCTCCCCCTGCTGGTGGTCCCCCCCCTTTTCCTCCCCCTTCCTCCTCCCCTTCCTGCCCCCCGTTGTGCTCAGAACGTTCCGGAGAGACCTTCCCGGAAAATTCTGGGAGATTTTCTGGCCCTCTTGACACAGGCTCGTGGAAGTCGCGCTTCGACGCGATCCATGCCGACTTCGTAGCTGCCCTCGGGGTCGTCGAGGCCCAGGCCAGGACGGAAAGCGCTAAGGAATTTCGGGTCTGGATCCTTTACCGTGCTGACAGGGGGGCCCGCAGGGTTCACATGGTTGCCAAGGGGGCTACAAAATGGGTCCCGTCGACGACCCTCTCCCTGGGCAAAGAGATTGTGTGCGATCCTCTCTCTCTCTCTTTCAG